TCTCCACATCTGTATTTGCTGCTCTAGTAAAATTTGTCTAGTTATTTAGAGATATTATTATTTCTATTTTACAGATGGCCAAGTAGGGGGGTTGAGTAAGCTTTTTGGTATTATACTATACATCAGGAGCCATGGCACACATAGGAAATATAATACAAGCTACTTGATTCCCAAATGAATGTTCGTGTGAATAAATAAAACATACAGAACTAATGTTTTCTTTTGGCAGCTTCAATAATAGTACTTTTCTCTTTGTTAGTAGTGAAATGTATTAGTAGGCAAATGTGAGTTCTGAAGAAACAGATTAACCAGTTTTTAGAGAATGTAGACCCTTTCTTTTATTTTGAATGTTCTTTCTCCACGTGTATGACTGTACGGTATTTTGCAATGTCCTAGCATGCTGGTTGGATAGCAGGATGTGTCCAGGCTGCATAGTGTGTCAGTGAAGCCTCATTATGCTTAGTTTTGATTTCTGACAGGGGAGGCGTTCTGCATCGCTGGTGAGCTTGCAGTCGGAAATTCACCACGTAGCCCTGGCTGCAGACCTTCTCTCCAATGCTGGCTCTTCTATGTTTCACTGTCAATCAAGAAGAAAACCATGACATAGTTCGTTTCCTAGTACTCTATTCCGTGAGAGTAAACACATCTCATAATCCCGCTTTGGAGTCCCCTGTCTCCACACATACGTTTTCTTCCTTAGTCAATAGTTCGTTTTATTGGTTACAGTGCGACGACACTATTTCAGGCTTTTCCACAGCCGAGCACAGCTGCTCATGTTGGCTATTGATTCCATATGTTAGCTCGAAACTGTATAATAGTCTCTTCTAATAGTTGCCTTTGGCTTTTCCTCTCCCCACTCGGAAAAGCACCCTCTGCCCCTAGCCTGGCATGCAATAACTAGAAATGGGTCCTAATTATATCAACCATTCATCACCAAAAAGCCCAAATAGCTGTCACGTGTTTGAACAGCTAACCATGCTTGTGGTTTATGTGGCTTCATGCTGCTCTATGGAAACACTTTACGAAACCAATGCTAAGTTTGCTGGTAGGAAGAAAATGTTCCTGTGAAAGGTTTACTGACCTCTAACCCCAAGGAAATTTCCTTGTTAAATTATTGTGTAAAAATGTAAGCTTATCTTGTCTCCAAATTATCCCCACATCCTCCCATTTTCTTCTCTCAGTCTCCTTCCTTTATTTATAACTGTGAGCTGTATATTTAAATTGTACGTTAAGCATACAATTTCTCCCAGGGAAGACAACGTGGACGGCACCTAGTAAGTTTCATCTCTGAAAGCTTTATGGAAGCTACAAGTTGCTGCATGTAGCTGAAAAGCTCAAACCACCCAGAGCTGGTGCTTTGCCCCAGAATCTCTGGGCATCTGAGTGATCTGGTAGCTCATAATCTGGATCACAAAAGAGCCTTAA